AAAAAAAAAAACCCTAAACATAATTAAATGAGAATGTTAATTCAAGAAAATACAAAAACTAAATAAAAAGCAAATCCCCGTATTGAACCACTTCAGGCTCACGGTAATCTTACACTAAACTGCGGCGGCTTTCCTGGTGTAATAAGCAAAAGCAATTCTCTCAAAAAATGCAGACCAACACACAACACCATGCAGATCTAAAGGATAAAATCAAAGAATGCCGCTTACCTCAGAGGATGAAGACGGCACGACACTACCAAGTTCTAAAGCACAAAACTTAAACTTGAAAAAATGCTAGCCTTTTTCTTCGCCAGAAACGACTGCAACTCACTAGTTTTTTTATGACACTGGCGACATCTTTTTAAAAAATTAATTTGCAAAACAAATAATCTTGACCGGAAACTGAATAGTATTTTACCACGCAAAGGATACTGCACTACCCTAGAATCATAATTTTATAGACCTTTTTTATAAGATACAATAGAAAAAAGCCTTCCACCCTCAACAGTTAAATCGGGTAAGCATAAAATCTATCCACTCGTTGCGAAGCGAAACGCAAATGCAAAGAAAGTCTTGAACAAATGTACGATTTCCCGGAGCCTGGATGCAAATGATTCACACCATTGCAGCTCCACTTCAACCCCGCTATCCTATACAAAAAACCCATGTAGAATATAAGAGGACAGACGTACATTGTTGGCCTCCACAAACTTCATCTGATTCTGCAACGGCTTCCAGCAAGATATCTTTATTGAAACAATAGTCTGGTAAGTTTAGAACGCGTGAAAAAACTTTGAAGCATTGTTCAATCATTTTATCACTTACCTGGACGATTAATCTCCTTTCTTCCTGTGATCTCTGAACAAGTGTTTGAAAAATACCTTGTCGTCTTTTATACTCAACGAATATTTGTAGTCCCTAGCCCTAATGCATCAGACTGTCTTCACACTTCCCCATAGGTAATGGCCTTCACCAACAAGTGATTGCCTTGTAAGCAAAACAAGTTTCAAAACTTAAGATCAGAGATTTGAAGTCCCTAAGTAAAGATGAAACTGGAGAGTAAAAACTGAATGAAGTACACAATAAAAAAAAAAAGATAGGCAAGTCAGACGAGAAAGTAAATCACTGCCACACAAAACGATCTTCACTTTTGCCATCCACAACAACATCAAAACAAAATACGCAAATCAATTTAGCTTCAGCTCACAGAAAGCTGGAAACTGAATTCTGTAACACAAAATAAAATACTGGTGACTCCAAAGAGGCCATTAAGCTTCTAAAAGGAGCAACTTCGATTTAATGCAACCTCAGTATTCTACAATAAAAAAAAAGTAGAAACAAGACAGAAAAAACTGGGAGATTCTAACAATGTATTTTAAATATAACAAAAAAGTAAAACAAGGAATCATTTCAACAAATTTTCCACCCAGGCTAAAATAAGCCAACAAAAGTAACACCTGAAGCAACTGAACCAGAGCCAACACCTTTAAAAAAACTAATTTCCTCAATTAATTACCATTACGTTCCGACTCCCCAAACAATTGAAAAAAAGCAAGCAAAACACAATTACACCAGCCTTTAACAAACTTACCTATAAACCAGACTTATAAAGTTCTGTAAAAATGTGGTGCCAAATAGAAGAATAAAGCTGGAAAAACATACAAAAATTTGAGAGCGCAATAGCAATTAGAAGTAACTAGCTAATATAACATATAAATTGGATGGAATGCGAATCACATAATCAGAAGACATCAAAAAGCCATAAAGTATGACAGCAAATTAATTTTTAAAAAAATCAAGAAAATAAAATCCGTAAAGGAAATTAAAAAATTTAAGCTCGTCAATATGTATTATGAGTTCTAGAAAACCCCAGCCAAAAAGACTGTTAACAACAATTACTTGGCAAGCAAAAACTGAAAGCTTCAAGTTACAACAGATTAACCACTGGATCAAAGGCCGAAATAACAACATTTTTATACAATATCACATAAGCTTTCGTCAATATGTATTATGAGTTCTAGAAAAAAATAAAATTACAGACACCTTCCCTACTCCAGCAAATAAAAAAGAAAAAACCGAAGGAAAATCGCTCCCGACACTGATGTTTGAAAATAAAACTAGTAGCAAGCGTTGAACGAATTAATAGGTTCCAAAGTAGCATTAAAAGGACCGTCTTTTACAAGTTGGCGAATGAGTACCTCACGGAACCTGGGACGCTGAAATTAAATCAGATAGTGGTAAAACTTTGAGATTAAAAAGAAAATACTGCGATTTCAGAAGCACTGTACAGGTTCCAAAGAACCAAAGCAACTATAAAGATACAATCTAGAAAACCCATCACGGCTATGCAGTTCCCTTGAAGCGGCCCTAAAAATCCCTGATGCATGCATGAGCAAGCGGTTGAAAACAGTCAACTTGGTTAAAGAAAAAACCTGTTTTTTGCCACCGGAAATCTCCTCTCAAAAACGACCCAGTATGGGTGTCACCTGGTAAACTTTTTGATTACTAAAGTGACAAATAAAAAACTGTTGTTTTTATCAAAAAAATTAAAAAAACTTCTCGAAAACTTTAAACTCTTTAACAGCCTTACAACAGTTTAGCTGCCTAATTATCAAACGCTACTTTACACTGGCCCTACAATTAACCAGTTAATCAGTGTGAAGAATGATTAGCGATTTAGGAAAACGAAAATGCGTCGATTCAATGCTATATATTCAAAATAAAAATTGATGTTTAAAGTGCTGTCTTCATGCCATTCTGTACAAAACAGGCAACCCTTCCATCACTGGATCGACAATGAAATACTTCCAAGCACCATACCAATTAATAAAAACATCGGTCTCACTTACCGACCAGGAAGTAATTATATCTTAAACCAACGATACATCCACCTATCTTGTCTTATCCTCATAACCCCCTCCCCTCCCAACTCCCTAAGTTCTTCTATGCCCTCTACCTGAAAATATGTAAATCTAGAAAACTCTTGAAACGCTTTACTGCCATCTCCTAACAAGCAAATGATAGAAGTGACTTTAAAAGACGTGCAAAATGTTCTGCATCATTTCTTGTAACAAAATAAGGCCAAACAAAGAACAGTTTGAAAATAAATAAAGCAAAGAGATGTGAACTGAAAGAAAGTGCGCTGAAAAAATCTCAGATTTATCAGGTTCTCAAAATTACAGACAGTAATGTTCACCACAAAAGATGGTTTGCTGTTAAAAGAACTGTTAGGTTCTTTGCTAAATGTCACTAAAAAGGTTTCCGAATACAGCAACAAATTAACCAGAAAAAAATACTTAGGAAGCAAATTTCCGCCAGTTTTCGGTCCAGAGCGTGCAGCTCCAGCCGGCTTAGGAGTTATTCGCCCCAGTTCTTACTATTGATTTCTTGAGAACCAGACACTCCAGAAGAACCTCTGTCGCCCATTCCATAGAATACTTTCCCCTACTTAACACAACAACAAAAGTAATCTTATGTATAACTAGCAAGCATCAATGATTTAGCTTAGATTGCGACCGCTGACTATCTTACTGAGTCTTAAAAATGCTCAGCTCCCTTCACTAGACAGAAGTTTTCGACTACACAAATACTGCTATTATTATTCTTCAGCAGCGAAATGAAAAGAAAATGCACAGGATGATCTTTCTTAAAAACGATGAGGCTTGAAAGAAATGAATAAAAATGCAAAAAAATACATCAATTCTTTAAACAGGTTTTTGAAAAAAAGCGCAACAAAAGTTACGGCAAAAATTAAAAAGATTTACCAAAAAACGAAAAAATACGAGAAAAAGATGAATGTATGTTTTAGTTTACTACTATCAGATGACCTATCTCTTTAATTATACTAGAAACGTACTTAATGTTCGTAAATATTCAGTAAAAATTCCAAAAAATGTGATCAATCAACTAAAAGTTAGGCAGATTAGTAAGCCAAATACTACCTGTACAATAGATACAACTTGAAACTACCAAATGTGTTAATGATTATGAAACTGCCAAACCTATAGGTGGCTAAACTCTTTGTAGGTGAACAGGCTTCTGAAGTAAAATTAAACCTTACATTGAACTAAGAATTCAAATGTAATACCAACTCTATCAAATTAAAATGCCATGAATGTCACGTGTACCTAAAGTTCCACAGCTTCTGTGACAAAAATGTCGAAGAAAACACTTTTTTGAACAGAATTATGGGCGGAAAGCTCTTTGAGTAGTAAAACTTAGCTTCATATTAGTGTTTTTAAAACAGACATAACGACACATAAGTAACAAGTTCAATTCTTAAACAGTTCTTAAAGCCAACTTTACAAGTCGCAAACAGAACGGAAAAAACATTATAGTTTATACCAAAAATTGCAAATAAATAAACTAATGTCAAAAGACACACAGAAATTATTTATAAATACCATTCATAGCAGAGAGATTTGCCGGTTGGCCGACGCGAACTGGAGAAGGAATAGCAGCAGTTGGAGTTTGTATTCCACCCATCATACCAGTATAGTGCTGCCCAGGACGTATCGGTTTCGCTAAAATGTTACTTTCATATCACTCATTAAAAACGTTTTAAAAAAAATATTAAAATCAACTAAAATTCTATAGATGCAAATAAAAAAAAGTCCGCAAACTCACCAATTTGTGGGGCAGGAAGACCTCTCCTCATTAAGTTCCTTTGGCGCACTGCTTCCTTAATGCGTTCGACTTCGTGTTGATACCTGTCAAAGGAAAATTGCACTTCATACAAAAAGGATTATCAGCTTATTATAAAAGCAACTAAACTAAAGCGACATCTTTTGAAACATATAAAAATATTGAGGAATAACAAGTCCTGAATACATAGATAGCCCTGAGAAAAAGCTCACTTCTTCCTGTCTTTCATGGCATTTTCTTTTGCTTCCTTCAAAGCAGTTTCTAAGTTTTTTACTCTTTCCATCGTTGTACGCAGTCGCTTTTCCATTTTAGGTAGTTCACAACGCAAGTCTGCGTTGTCACGTACGAGCTAAAGAATTGAAAATTCGAAATACAATAATGTACCAAGCTACAAAATAACCAAAAATTTTTTAATTTTAAGGTCACAAGAAACAAAGCAGTAACAGGAAATAACAAGCAGAAGAGAACTAAGGACAACACCGCTTACTTGTTTATGAACTTTCGTTAACTGATCAAGATTATTCTCCAAAAATATTATTTTTTGTTTTTGTGCTGGAGATGACATATACTCCTCTTCATTGGTGTCTCCACCAGTGGTTCTTTTAATCCTCTGACCAATGTCCTGTACAAACATTTTCCGAAGATTATGCAATGTTTGCAGTTCCTTTGCAACAGTCTCCTCCAAACCTATAAAAGAAAAGAAACCATTCAAAAAAGCAACAAAGATGTTTAAAGGTCATACAGGTTTAAACAATCAACAGTATGACACCCCCAAGTCAACCAAAAGCCGTAACTCATTTGCCAGCTCCGGTTCATGAAAATCCGAAAAACAAAGTTAAAATTAAGTGATCTGTTTTAGGACAAACCGTGAATGTAAATGAAGTATTAGAGCAGATGAATTAAAATTTACCTGCAATATTAAATCCCCCATATCCTGCGTTTTCCACCAAACATTTATAAATGCAATTTTTTAAAATGACTATACTACATTTGTATCAGGAATTACAAAACTACAAGCAATCATCGACGACAATATTTCTAAAAGAATATTAATGGCTCAAAAAAACTTTTGTCTCTTCCTCGTATCCTTCCCGTTTCTTATTCCAGTAACCACATCTCATGGTCATGAGGATGGTCATAAAAAACAATGACCACGTCTCAGCAGTACTACAGCTTCAAATGCTAATACGACAAACAGATAAACTGACCTTTTAAGTCACTTTTTGCTTGTTCCCTTTTTTCTGAAAAGCCAGCAAGTTCTTTCATACGTTTTTCCCAGTCTGCCTCCTTAGTTTTCAACTTTTCATTGTCGGATCGCAGCTGCTCTACAATAACCTGTTTCTCCTGCTGAGATGCCTGAAAATACCGTGATAAAATACTATCGTCTTTCAAATTGACTGACCGTGTGTGCTAAAATAAACAGACTAGAAAAATAAAAATTTTTCAACTGACCGTCAATTCCTCAATCTGTTTACTAAGCTCTGCTATCTTATCCCTTAGAGCAGCAACCTGCTTAGCATGTTGTTCCTTCGCCTCCTCACCCATTTGCGCTGCTTCGCCACCATGAGCTGTTAGTTTCTCATTAAGCTGATCTACCTGGAAATAACCAACAATAGTCATTATGTGTATTATTTTCTAGAGAGACCTCTCCTAAGATCACGAACGAAAAGTATTACACAACGCAAAAATAACATACCTGTTCCTCAAGGCTACGTTTCGCTTTTTCCTGCGACGCTATGGTTTCTTGAAGAGTTTTGTTTTTTGCTTCATTTTGGTTTAGCTGCAGTCTACAGTCAGCAAGTTCTTTTTCCATTGTTTCCAACTTCATGGTTACATCACCAGAACCAGATTCAAGACTTGAAACCTTCTAAAGTCAAAATACCAGATCAATTCCCCATCAAAGCCTAAACTGATGAACACAATTTAAAAAGTGATGAGCGTACCTGCAAAGCTGACTTAAAATCTGCGCTTAATTTGGAAATGCAAATACGAGTGTGTGCAAAAAGTTCCTCGTCAAACGGTTTCTCTGAACCCGCTTCCATGTTGAACTAAAATACGAATGAAAGACCGTAACTTAAATTAGACAAATGAAAAGGCTTTCTTGGCTAAATCACTTCCTGAAACATCCGCATAGGAACTCAACTACAAACAACGCGACACCGCTTACTTCTTTCCCCCCTATTTTTGAAACTTTTAATCTGCAGTAAAGAGGTTCTCCCATTTACGGCAGAAATATCATCTTCTGTACTCAAACTCGCGCATTTACGACAAATGATGCTTTAAAAAAGGCTTGATTTCTCCCAAAAGTCTTTCAAGTTTGCCTCACATTACCGCACCCACAAATAAACCCTGAGGAAAACCATAGTCCTCACAAAAAACTACTATGACAAAATTTGGAGAGAGCGGAAAGAGAAAAAAACTATGAATTGAAGAACTAAAGAACTTGTAAATTTTTTGAGCGTAAAATATGGCTGTGAGATTGTGGAATCGGGGGACTTTTATGACTGAAAAACAAACAAGCGAAAAGAAAAATCTCTATAATTTTAGGCATTTGCAGAATAACCTCAAGATCACTATACATTAATCTTCCGTTAATCAAATTCGGGCATCAGGTTGTTGCAAGTTGCCGTACTAAGCTGAAAAATCTGAAAAAATACTGAAAATCTGGCATAACGTTCATGCTTACCTGGCGTTTTCCCGTCATTTATCATTCACTAGCGCTCTCAATACTTACATATTTTAGAGAGTTCTCAAAAATGTGAGTGGACCTCAAAATCTCTAGTACAAGTTCGCTTACCTATTTTAATTTATTTTACTAGTTATACGAGAGCTGATCAAAAATGTGCTGGCAAAACTAAAAGAAATTAAAAGAGCCTATTGATTAAGCATACTTTGCCAAAAAAACTAGTAGTGTTCTTGCCTATAACGCTTCATATTTCCCGATTGTAATAGAAAATTTTAATCAATTATTAACCAACATTAAAAGAAACCTTAGCGATGTTAGCGTAATTAGGTCCAACTTCAGCGAGATCCCTCAACATACTTTGCATAGCATCAGCTATACGCTTCTTTTGTGTATTACAACTTTCTCTTAAGGCATCAAGTTCTGCAGTAATTTCCACTAACTTGACATTTTTCTTGGAAATTTCGTCCTAAAAATGGAGAAGAAATGGAGAAGAAAACCATATGAAAAATTACGAGGAGAACACAACTCAAAGAAGAAACTAGTACAAAAAATGCAAACCCCTAATTGTTCATTTTCGCGGTTCTTTTGTTCGGCTTCTTGAGTTTTCATGTCATAATTCATAGCGAGCTCTTCCAGTGCTGTAAGTACTTCCTTGGTCTCTTCTTTCGATGCCTCGTTTTCACTTTGTATTCTTTGAACTTCAGCTTGCGCATTTTCATAATCAATTTTTATCTGCTTGATTAACTCTTCTTGCTCATTGAGTTGTTGCTTTAGACGCTCCGCTAACTGTGAATGATGAGTAATTTCATCGTCTTTTTCGTCTAACTGCTGATACAGAGTAGCTCGTTCCTCCTCATATTTTTTGCGATCTGCGTCGGTGATCGCGCCGATAGATGAGGTCAAGAGCTGCACTGGCGGAACAGATATGGATCGATCCAGTGACCCAAGAGCTGAATCACTAGCAGAAGGAGAGAGCGCTGGAAAAGTATTTGCCGATAAACACATAGATAATCAAAATAACTAGTCTCTTCAGAAAGAAAAAAATAAGTAAACAAAACAATAAAAATAGTTATTAAATTGTATTCAATGTAATAAGATTTGAGAATATCGCTCACTGTCGCTTGGGACCGGAAGATTTGAGGTCGTCACCGCAGCTAAGTTCAACCATTCGGCTTCTGGAACTCTTTCGCCTCTTCTCCACCTATTCAATTCATTTTCAGCTTCCGCCAACTGCGCTTTCAGTCTTGCCACCTGTATAAGAATCAATAAGACATGAAGAACCGGGGAATTACTCTTCGTTATAAATTAACGCATATTACTTTAAAGAATGCGTTACAAATACGTAGTTCTCAGTAACATACTTTCGGTAATAAAAAAAACGCTCAAACATTCACTGAAAAATTATGAATTAACATAAGGCAGAAACCTTTTCTTTTTCACGTTCGTATCGTCGTTTCCACTCTTCTGCAGTTAATTCTTCATTAACAACGACAACATTTTTGATCGTCTTGGCGCTTCAATTAATACGCTGATTATTTTCCTTCTATCAAATAGTCTCTCAAAAAAGTTTCCCACCGCTAACTATTAATATTCATAAGTATTCCAAAAACCGACTTTTTGTTGAAAAAAGATCTCTTAAAAAACTAAACCGTTGTCCAAATGTCAAAGTGCTTTTCGTTTCGGCTTCATTAGTTGAAGCTGGCGAGCAACATATCACAATTGTCGTTCTAGAATTCCCACCCAGAGATTCTTGCAGAATCCGAGTCAATTTGCTGTCACGGTAAGGAACGTGACTTTTCTGGAATATAAAGCGAGAACTAGTGATTTTATGTCACTCTTATAAAAACTTATGAAAAAATAGCAGATTTACCCTATTTCAGAAAAGTATACACTTACAGTCCCTTCAGCCAATGCTGCAATCACATTGCCCAAGGCAGAAAGCGACTTGTTAATGTTCTTAGCTTCCTCCAATACCATCCCTTCCGCTCCAGTTTTACTCACCTGAAAACTTATTATTAGCATCAATGAATGAGAAGAGTGAAATCACTCTACGTAGGATCAAAAAGTAAATTAAATAAATCCACCTTCTCGCTGCCAGCTAAATCCACTAAATAAAGTTTTCCAATAAGCTTCTTTTGCGTCCGTGTATTTTCCTGCTTAACTTGAATAAGGAAAACACTATGACTTCTTGAACTATGTTCGTTCATATCTGAAGGTAACATTTTCTGTATGACAACGAAATCAAAAATTAATAAAAACTGCAAATTGACTACATCGTAACAAAAACAAAAAAACGCAACACTCACTAGTCACAGCAACGTGCCTATTATTTTTTCCCTCCTCTATGCACTGCATCACTTCTTCAGGACTAGAAACAAATCTTTCGGATGCTCCTTTCACATAAGGAACGCGGTTTTTGTCTTCATGGATTGCCAAGTTCATTTTAGTTACTGCAATTCTTGTGATAAATGACCGCTAGAAAGTATCCGTACTGAAGTCAACGCTTAAAATCCTTAACAAATTACCGTCGAGCAAATCTCTTATTTTTTCATTGTAAATTTCGAAATATGAAACTTTGATTAGAAACTCGAGATCAGCATCCATGTTGTAAATATGATTGAATATGTCTTGAACTATTCGAGGAATTATGCCTTGCTTCTCTGGCTCTCCAAACATGCCCTAAACCCAAAAACAACTCTAGTTATTATAGCGTGCATAAATATGCATCCTAAATTTGCTAACTTCTGTCGAAAGTAGCGACAACAACAAATTACCTCCATCGTATGAGTTTTTCCGGAAGACGTCTGACCATAAGCAAAAATAGTTCCATTATAACCCGACAACACATCTTGAACAATATGATACGACGAACTCATATAGACCTGTTCTTGAGTAGAATTTGGCTTGAATACTTTATCATACACGTATACTTTGCCCTAAAATTAGCAAAAAAATTTACAGAATATCTGAAACCTCGCACGGAACTGCAGCAAAAACTGCTTCTGCTTTCAAAAGCAGATTCTTAATGAACTTATAAAGAAATCCGTTAGAAAAGAAATAAAAAAAAAAAGAAAATAACCATCAATCAAAAAAAGATTTTAAAACGTATCGGCATTATCCCTCCACTGTAAAACTTACTCCAACTGATATAGCTTCTTCAGTATCAGCAGGAAATTTAGGAATGAACTTAGAACCATTCTTTTCCTCCATGCTATTTAGAGGTCGAACTCGGCAGAACACCTGTGATATGAACAAAATCATAAAACCAAAGACTGTTGATCCACTGATTACATCATTTCTGTTAAAAGTTTAAAAAAAGCAACTCTGCAGCAAAAAAAGCTCAAACATCGAGGAAGAAGGAAACTTCTCCAAGCAAAATTTCGAGTAAACTACGCAAATCCAAAAAGAAGAACAAATAAATAAATAACCTGGATGCCGCATTCGGCAGGGTTCGGCACCGGGTTCGCCATTCCGACGACCGTTTGATTTTACGAACAACGATTACCTTGCCTGTAAAGTCAAGTGAGTCAGTATACCCGAAATATCTGACAACAGCTCAACTTATTCATAAAACCAAATAACAATTAGGGAAACGATCAAAAGTTAAAAAACGGAGTTACAGATGAAAAAAGAAACATCTGAGGAACAAAAGACAAGGCGAGTCAGAATTCAAATTAAACCAATCAAGTCACTACCTTAGTACAATATAAATTAGTGGACTTCCAAGGCAGCCTTCTGAAATAATCAGATGTATTAATTAGAGAAATAAACAAGAAAAAAAACCCCTCTTCGCAAAATCAAGTATATCAGAACAGCAAATAACCAAGATTTTAAGCACCAGCAAGGATAACTTAACTTTTAAAAGTCATTAAACTTCTCTCAAGAAAAATGTAACTAAAAAGGCAGTTAGAATGTGTGAGAAGCAAACTACTTCCTACTTCGGTACTCAATTGTTTCAGCAACGAACATGACATTGAACTGAATAGTGACACGTAATGAAATGTTAATGAATAAGTCAAGAAACCTCTAAAAGAACTCAGAATATATAATGTTAAGAAACCCTTCCTAACCATATATATGTAAACCCAAACTAGAAAAGAATTTCTTTTCATATGACCAGAACTAAGAACATACAAAGTGACCTAAACAGAAAAGAATCCGCTGTTGATAAGTCATGGGAAACCCAATTTCAAACCCTAATCCTATAATGTTGCACAAGACTTGTTGACCGATTATGAATGTCATGCTGATATGGTGATATATTA